CGGGCCTCCCATCCCCTTGGTCGCCAGGGCCGGGGGCACCTAGGCTGCCAACGGTAGGGCCACCACCTCGGTCTCCGACTGGGTGTCCACCGAGTCATCCGTTTCAGAGCCCGAGTCCGCCGAGGAGTCCGAGTCCTCCTGCAGTGTGGGGACCTCCGCAGGTTCCAGTGCCCAGTCCGCCGGGAAGCCATGCCTCTTGAAGCAACGTTCGCACTTGCCATAGGCCTCCTGCTCCGTCATGTAGTCCAGCACCGAGAGCTCCTGGACCTTAGAAGCCGCCGGTCGCCAACCACACCCCACAGCCGTGCCTTCGACATTCAGCAGGTGGATTCTGGACTGGCCGGCGTTGCCTGTGCGTTTGACCGCCGCCACCACCCGAAGGGGGAGGTCTGGGGTGGCGGGAAACAGGTCCTTAGCCTTCACTGGTGTGTCCTCGGGTCCGTGTTCCACCACTGACCATGAGCGAGTCGATGGCGCGCTCCCTGAGGGTACCGAAGGGGATGCCTCGCCTTCCCTTTCGGTTTGGTCCTCCCGACCCTCCGGTCCTGCGTCCGTGATGTCCACTGCTGGCGGCGGGAGCGGGTCCGCCCAGTCCGGGTGATTCAAGTCCTCCCTGCGTTCCCTGCCTGGCCCGAGGTTCAGGTTGGGGACCTTCTGCGCTACCTGGCCCCAGATCTCCACAACCACGTTGCGCTTCTCCCGCACATAGACATCTGCCGTGCTCTCCGTGAGCCAGTTGCCAAGGTACATGCTGGAAGGCGCAGTCCTCCTCGGATACCAACCGCCTTACCGAGGCCACCCAGGTAGTCCACCAGGGGATCCCCGTGAAGCTGTACTTCGGAGCAATCAAGGGGACCGGGTTGCGATTGATTCGTGCTGCAGAGACCGTCTTGGTCTGCCAGGCCTTCAGCTCCACAGTGTTGCTGGTGTGGATAAGGTCCTTGGGGTGAACGTGCTGGAGGTCATTGAAGCGAGCGCTGCAACCAACCTGGAACCGGGCGAAACCCAGGATGAAAGCGTCCAGCACCTCGTGTCTGCTCTTTCCCGGGGCCTCCTGCGTGCCGGGGCCGGTGGCACCCAGGCGATCGTAGCCGGCCCCCTCCTCCAGAGCCCAAATGACCTCTTTGCTGGGGACCACCGCCTTACGTTGTGGCCTGGTGACCGTGTCCGTGAGCGCCTCTTCCAATGAGCTCTTCTTGGACTTGAGGCGATGGAGCTCATCTATCTTCAGCAATCCGAAGGTCTTTGAGAACCACTTGAGGGTGTTCCACACCTGCCGCAACTTACACGGGGTGACCTCCTCATCGGCGAGCTGGTTGAGGAGAGAGCGGACATGTCGTTCCTGCCATGGAATGACGGTGAAGCCTCTCTTGCGGAGACTCTCGTAGACCAGGCAATGTTGCCTGAGCGTCCGGAACCTGCTGTCCCCCAAGAGGTCCAATGCCTCCTTGCGGAAGTCCTCCCCCAGGATGTCCTGCATGTATGCAATGTGCTCCGCAAAGGGGGCGAAGTGGGCAAGGAGCCGTTCCGCCCATTTCCCGCGCATATGGAGTTCCAGCGCTCGCTGGGTCGTGGGCTCCATTTCCCTGATCTTCCCGGGCCGCCAGTGCCTCCACTTCAGAAGCTCCGGCTGTTGGAGTGGGGGTGGGTCATCTCGCGAGAACCACCTCAGTTGGTCCTGGCGGTCCCATTCGTTCTCCAGCGGGGAAAAGTTCTCGCTCGGCTTGCCATCCGCAGCCGCCATGAGGAGGAACCATAGGCTATCCCAAAGGTCGGCCAGGTCCGCCGCGGACAAAGGAAGCCTGCCCGCCGCCGACGCCACCAGGCCGTTGAAGTAGTCCGTTGGTACCACTTGGTCATCTTGGCCCACCGGAATACTCGAGAGTTTCAGGAGCTGAGCGAAGCGGATGGCTCCCCGCCCAGCTGCCTCCCTTCCTCTGCAGTGCCATGGCGCAGGCACATCAGGACCAGCAGCTCCCCGTCCGTCTGTCTCGAAGAAAGAAGGACTCATCCGCCAACGTGTCCCACAGGACCCTTGGAATGCGGTCCCAAAGACGAGTGTAAGGCGGGCGCAAAAGAAACTTTGTAGAGACCCTAGCCATGATGAAAACGGGGGTTCGAGCCTCCTATCGAACGGCCGGGACCCAACCGCGGCACACTGCACGCATGTTCCAACCCCTCAGGATGCCGAGTGCAAATGGGCAGGCAGGCCACATGCAGCCCAACAGGACCCAAAAGTCAACCCCCGGAAATCCCCAAAAAGACCAACCCGGCGGGGGATTCCCCAAAACCCCCAAGGGGACCTCAGGGAACCCAGAGTCAGCCGCAGCCACTTTCTCCAAACTGTGGCCGATATGGCCCGTCCTTGGGGCAGCCAAAGCGCGCAGCCTCCAGATCGAGGCAAACCGGCAGTCGTGACTCGCTGAACAGGGGGGAAACCCAGCTAAAGATGAACCCAAAAGGAGACACCCTAACACCTCCCCCCCACCCGAGACGGGGCCAGAGGCACCCAAGTCCCGGTGGGAAGAGATCCACATCCAGAAAGGCTGTGAGACACGACCTAGCGGCTCTCACCCTTCAAGATCGCCTCCTTAGCCACCGAGTGGATGGCCGCCAGCCCTGACTTCTCCGGGTTGCTCAAAATGACCGACCACAAGGCAGTGGAGACATCCCCCAGGCCATTCGAGGAGCTGAAGCGCATGCGCGGGGTGCTCGCGTCGCCAAGGACTAGCCGCTCGTTTCTGGGAGGCTCCGTCGGCTCCACCCTCTTGTAGAACTCCATCCTGTCCCGGATCCACTGATTATATAGCTGCTCGTCCATCACCAGCTGCAAGCATGTGGCCTTGTCTTTGTGCCACCCCGTGATCTGGAGCAGCCTGGTCCCCCCGCGGCTCGCCCTCCAGAAGCCCCTGCAAAACCTGCACATGTAGCCCCCGGTGGTCTTGAACTTCTCCTTGCCCACCACTTCCCAGGCGCTGATGCTGGGCAGGACCAGGCCGCACTCCACGGAGGCCCAAAACACGTGCTTCGTCTCCTTCGGGAAGTGCTTGATAGGAGGGTACCGCCTGGTGCCCTGGTCCGGTGTGCGGAGCGTGGTGTCCGCCCCCCAGCTGCCGGATGAGGTCCTGGGAGTAGCCCAACCGGTCGTACAGGGCCCCCGCCGCCTCCTGCGGAACCTGCTCCAGACCACGTTGCAACGCCAGTTGACCTTCACCTCAAACATGGAGGACTTACTCAGGCCAGACACCAGCTTGGTGTATACCGAGTCAAAAGCCCTCAGCGAAGGGTGATTCGCTCGTCGCAGACCGCCCTGAAACGCAGAGCCTCCTTGCTGTCGTGGACGGGGGCCACTGGGATCTCCATCACCGGCAACGGGCAGTTAACGATGAAATTCTTGGCCGCCAGGAACGTCCCCATCTCCTTGAAGATGTAGCTCCATTCCGCCTTGCTGCGCGGCTTGGGGATTCCCAGGCTCTCCAGGAAGGGCACCGCCTCCTTCCTCATCTGGAGGATGTTGAGGCCGAGCCCTCCGCATTGCGGCCCCGGCGCTGCGTCTTCACGATCAGCGGGAAGGTGGTCCAGGCCGAGTAGATGTACTTGAAGGTGAACCTGTGGGCGTACACATTGATTGGCTGCCTCCGGCCATCCCGTGCCGCATGCCTTACACATGAATTTGTAGTCCGATTGGCCGGCATCGAGTCTGTGCATCTGCTGGGTGCCAATGCATGCCTTATTCCGCTGGAACTGTGAGGCCCAGACCTCCTCCTGCCGGATCTGGATCTTCACCGGAACATAGGCCTCCAGGATGCGGACCACCAAGTCCTCCGTGAGATTCTTACCGACAACTTGTGGAACAGGGAGACCGCCTCCTCCACCGTGACGTCCCTCAACAACGTGGCCGCCGATGCCGGAAGGACCGGGAAGAGGTCTGGGAGGTCCACTAGCTTGAAATAGCCAGGACGGCCATCCACCGGTACCAGGGAGACCGGTTTGTTCACCGGGGTCGTGGTCTTCTGGGAGGCCGCCACAAAGCCCTTCAGCCTCTTCGTTGGTGGAGTAGCCCGCTCCGTGGTGACCGCATCGCTCATCTCCGTGTCCTCGTCCTCGGCGGGGCCAGGGGCACCCAGGCCGGGAGTCGGTGTGGAGAAGGCCACGCGGAGTCGCTCCAGTGCACTGGAGAGGTCGTTCATCACATCGGTGGCCGATGCCGACGGGGGCGCCTCGGGCTCATCCAACACCAGGCCGGCCGCCACAGCCGCCTCGCGTGTGCGGGCTTCCTGGGCCTCCTGGCTGGCCATTTCCACCTCCTCCGCGGTGAGTGCCTGGTCCTCAATCAACTCAAAGGACGTTGCCGAAGTTGCTGAGGAGGCCATTGCTGGTTCGGGGTTGTTTCGGAAGTGCTACCTTTCAAGTTTTTCCACAAAGTTGGGTTCAGAGAACCCAATATCCAGGCTTGAGCCAAAATGGCCGGGGCCATTATGGTCAAGCATTTCAAACACAGTTCATGTTTCCACATGCGTTTCAACATTAACAAATAAGAAGAATAACAATAATAGTCATAATACCAGTACGAGTACAGAAGTCATGAAAAAGACAACAGAGAAATCAATTCGACCAAACAACTCAAAAGGAAGACATACGCGGCCGCAACGCCTCCGGGATCCAAAGGTGTAGAGAACCTCATTGAGCCTACCGTGGGGTGTCCAGTGGACCAGGAAGTACGAGGGCTCGAGATCGCAATCTGAGCCTCGACAACTGAACCAAACGACAAGGCGTCCATTCGGCTCCAGCCCCACATTCACCATCACCCCAAGTCAGCCATAGGCTGTTCCGTCTGGGAATGTCAAAACTAGGGGCAGCCTCAAAAACCAACCATCGGCAGAGGATGTCCTTTGACACAGAACCTGACAAAGGGTTTTCATTCGTCTGGACTCACATCCTCTTTCGAGTGTTTCCACCAGTCCGACGCGGCGAGTCACGTCCCAAGCCGTTTCAAGCGC